ACCCATACTTTGCCAAGAGAGTTCCGCACATGATGCATGAGGTTGTGAGGGAGTCTGTGAGTTATTTAATTTTACGGAGGTAATTATTCTAACCAACAAGTGGGCTTACACTGGGGCTACTATGCATATTAGCTAACATAAAGCTGCCATGTCGTCTTGATGCCAACCAACATGCTTTACCATTAATTAATCCTAACGGGGCGGTGCTGATGCAGAGCTCATTCGATGTCCCATGACCTAAACTCCTTATTCTTCTTAAAATTTATATTTTATTACATAAAAGGGTAGCAATACATAAACCTAATAACTACTTATAAAAAGCTATATATAATCTCTTATTTGATTTAACATTTATAGTAGATCTAAGTTTCTGTTCTTCTTCTTTTTCTCTTTCTACTTTAAGATTATCCCTGAAGAGATAAATAAATATGAGGTTTATATACCTTCTTTCTATCTCCTCGGCCTTTTTGCCACTGGTAAGCGCTACCTTCTTACTCTTTTAATTAAATCTATAGTATTTACAATCTCTGCCAGGCCTTTTCTCTAGCTGCACCACTTAAAGACTATAAAGTCTTTATTCCTCAGTGGGAAGTCGAAGTTTCACCTGGTGGTTCTATGGTAATTCTCAATGGTACAATTGAGCAAGTTCATGATGAGCTTATTAAGCTAAATCCCAACTGGGACAACGAATACCTTGGAGAAAACCCATCGAAACATAGTGAAAATTCCACACGGTTACTAGATAAGCGTACTGACTTTTCCGGCGCTCAATATTTCTGCCGCGGTCGCTGGCCGGAGGCTTTAAAAGAGGAAATAAAGAGGGGTATTAAATATTTAAGAAGAGTAAATGGCCGGCCGACGAATGGGGCAGGCCCTGGCAATTGCGGCCGAGTCAGCTGCTCTTATCATTCTGCGATCTGGTGGTGTAATGATGTAAGTGTATATGTTATAACGCATTGCGTGAATATTACCTGACTTAACGTTTCTTTCACAGGATCATCAGCCAAAAACACTAGAATCCTTCGGCAGTATTGCAGATGGCGCTCAATATATCGTGGATCATTGTGGGCGGTATTATCTTGTTTCTGGCCAGGTGTTCCATAAAACCAACTGGAATGTAATTGTTAGGGAGGACACAGACTCGTGTTAAGAATTCCGAGGGACCCAGGTAGCTAATATTGGTGGAGCAATCAACCTCAGTATTGCTGGAACAGAGTGATATAACGAGGCCGGCTTTGTTCAACAGAAGCCTAATTCTTGCAGGACATATTGGCCCTGACTTATGTTTCTCCTCTGTTAGAAACTATAATAGGAAGGTTTGATGAGTTGAGTCAACGACAATACGAGTCACGCTAATAGTTGCATCTCTGGCAATGATAATTCCTTTTTGCCCCTGATAGATTTAGTATGATGTGAAATATTAAGGCTGACAGAATGTAGGATTAGTTAGTCCTATTAGGACTTTTAGCTAACGAGACGTCCGAAAATAAGGACTTGGGGAGTAGGCCAACGAGTGTGAGATCGAGAATCTTGTGTGCTCACATTACATGATTGCAGAGCAACTCAACCTTGGCGCCAAACTCCCTTGTGAGACAGATTGATATGGTCTTCTCAAAAGTAGCAAAAGTACCAAAATGGCTTCGACTTATTCAGTTCTATCTGTTCCCAAAAGCATCTTCGGTATGTTTATGTTTCATGCTTTACCTTTCAGTACCGCACTGTGAAGGCGTGTGACTAACACTAATCCGAGCCGCGTTCTAGCAGGTGCGACTAAGCCACCGTATCTGTACTAACTCATCAGGCGATACGATGATAGAAGTCCAATCTTTTACCTCCTGGAACTATATAACAGCCCGTTGCATTGCCGATGACAATATTTTGTAGGTTATGAATCCTGATACTCACCAACTGTAAGCGTTGACGGCAATAATGTTATCAGCTAAACTTCGAACACGAGAGCTGAATTCAGTTACCCAATTTATCGACTGTCAGACAAAATGACAGCACCTCGTAGCCTTGATAGTAAGACTTGAGATGTTGGTATATGCCTCGCACGGCTGGTCAGCACTTGACGACAGCAGCACTAGATGCCACTAGAGATGGTGCCAAGACAAGAGGGGCGGCAAATGCTTGAAACGCCGAGGCTTTTGTTGGTGCTTGCAAATTCACATGCAACTTGGGACTTTTGAACACAAGTGATCCGTCGCAACAACAGGAAGCTCGGTAGCAATGGTTGTTCGATTTTTTCGGCCGGATGCATGTAGGATGCTTCGTAGGGTACTTACAACCAACACGCAGTTTCGTCTGCAGAGAACAACCCACAAATAATACGCTCCTTCTGGTGCGTTTTGAATGTTGCATCTTGAACAATGTAGTGTCTACCCACTGAACTTTGGTGGCTGTCGTCAACATAACTTGAATAAAGAGGCGTCAAGGATTTGGCTGCAGATGCTGTCGGCAAGATATAGCCCGATCACCTGTCAAGTCTCCACGCTCTGATTGTAGGGATTGTAGGGCAAGATGGTTTTACCGTACCTGCGTCATATCACAAAATTAGTGCGGCGCGACCACGCCTACTTGGTATCCGAGGCAAGTTGTGGATTGTCACTGTAATCGAACATGCATGTTGGTCAATTTGTCACAATGATCATACTAGCATCCAGCTCCTAGTTACTTTGCCGAGGGTTTCCTGCTATGGCCTCAATTTACGTATCAACCTTCATGTTGTTTGCTTGCATTTTCCATGTGATGGTCGTTGGAAATTGTTCACAACTGGTAATCACATAGGTCCTAGTCCCTGATTTAAAATGACACCAGTACTGAATCTAGTGAGCATCGCCAACGGCAATCTGACTGGTATGCAAGCCCTCTTGTGGGTTGCACGTCCACATGCCACCACTTGCTGCCGACCGTCGAGACTTTCCATTGCTGAAACAACGCTAACCACGTGTTGAACTTCTACGCCAAAGATGCATGAGACAATCTCTCGCGTGTTATCTAAGCATGCTCAACCCCTCCAAGGGCCTTGATTCGTTCGTATAGTTGTGGAAAGGATCATGGGTTCTGTACTCATCTGGCATCTGAGTACTCGGCAGTGGTTGATGAGCGAATGAAACCGTGGTCTGATTTCAGTGGGCATCAACGCCAAATGATGGTATTTGATTCGGGATACTTCTCCAACTTGGGTTATGAAACCGCCAACTGAGCAGTGGCAATATGGCAAATCAAGTCTCTGAATGCATGAATTTGTGAGCTAACCGCACGACTAAGCCATTTTCAGTTGATAAGGTCTCAAATTTGATATCACCGTCACAGTGATGACCTCCCGAAAAAGATAGGTGAGGCATAATTCGTGTAGAGAGAATGGCAACAATTAAGGCTTCACAAAAATTTCTCGCAGACTTGATGGTAATTCTTGACAATGAAAAATGCAAAAAGAATACATAGCTTTGTGGCTATCACAAACTCGCGCTCTGTAAATTTGGGTCATGCCTCGTCCTTGTCGTCACTCTCATAACAGCCCGAAAATGGCGGTAAACCTATTGCCTGCTTGCGCCATTCTCCTCGTAGGTATGAACCCGCCAACGGAGTTCTCCGTGAGGCCGTACAATCACAAAACCTCTAGAGCCGCTATGACGCAAGTCCTTTCATGATTCTAGATAGCCCCATCAATCTTTTATATCTTCTTTTCGTTGGACAATCTGGGGGTGGCCGTACTAAGCGTAGACGGGGCTTTGGTGCCAATAAGACGGGCCAGCGGGGATGATTGTCTGCCCGAGTCGCGATCGGTAGGTGGGCCTGGAGATACAAACGGCGGCTGTGGTATAAAGGAAAAAAGGAAGGAAGCAATTTCAGTCAGGCTATTCATTTCTAACGGTTATAAACTTGGCGTTAACATTTGTGAGATTACAAGTAAAGCCCTCGCATATGCCGCGTTGAAATTTATTTAAACTCAATAATTCACGTGAAGTTTCTGCGGAGCGGAACCTATTTCATCCGATTTGTGACGACATGTGTCAGAGTATGGGAGCGTAATTGCTTAGATAAAATTTGTGATTATGTGATAAACTGGCCATTCCTGTTTCGGCTATTGTTTACATCCTGCACGAAGCCAGCGCATCCTACCAAACAACTTGGCACGGTAAGTTAAATCAAGACGCACATCGGTAGAACCAATAAGGTCCCATTTTATGAGTTCCATCTTATTCTACAGCATTACAGAAGAAAAGGACAAGCAATCATTTAAGTATTATAAACATATAAACTAGTCTATTTTTAGACTTATGAAGCTGTGCTTAGTGTATGTGTAATATGCTTGTTAACCTAAGCAATTAAATGATGCCTTAGAAATAAGGTTTAAGAAATCTCGTTTGTCTGGGCTTCCATAAAGTGCACTCGTGTTTGTGGATCGAAATCTCATTGATACTAAAATAATGAAATCAAGGGGTAAAAGAACGCTAGGAACGGGCCGTTCTATATTGGAGTTGTATCTCCCCATTAACGAGCTGATTATCCGCTCTATGGCTTTTTACTATTGATTAGTCACTCTTGTGCCTCCTCTTTTGTCGTCGATGCTCTGCTTAGGCCTTACTCTAACCATTATTGGTTGCCCCTATTTCAGCCACACGAAGCAGCCTGGCGTCTTGTTACTTTCCCCCGCTTCTCGTAGTTTCTTCATCCCCCTTTTCCTCGTTAATTATTCTCTGCCTGCTTGATATGCCATAGGCGCCGCATTGACTGATAGCGGAGCCTGTAAACACGAGTAAGATTACAAAAGGTTCCTGATTCAGATATTACAGGATGCCAGCCAGGAAACGCCGGAAGATGGGCTACCATCCGTCCCACGAGGACGTGGCAACGCCGAATGATGTCGATACATTTCAGAATTCATCTAACACCCAAGCGCCTATGATTGCTACCTCTCGACTCCGAAACGACTCTCCTCAGACGGTTACTAGGCAAAAGAACCTTGTTTTTCGCGTTACCGGTCTCCCAGCCTCGCAGACGAACGATGCGCTGGTGGATTTTATCCGCAAAGACCTGTTAAAGGGTGAAGAACAGTCACATTTAAAAGTCACCGCAAGCATCGTGCCATCTTGCTCCAATAATGGGCATGAGAGGGTTGCGTTAGTAGAATTTGGCGGTAGATTTCCTGATTTCTTGTCCGCTCTAGTCGCGAACCCTCTGGAAGACTGGGAGGTTGAGATGGGTAATGGAGATATTACTTTCGACCACCATTTTTTTGGGTTTACACAGCTCTACACCCCTAAAGCAGACAAGCCAGTTACCGCAGAGTATGTAACATTTCGTTGATGGTGCAACTTGCTCTTGTTGTTCCTGTGTGCAGCCCTAATGCTAATCCACTAGGTTGCAGTATAATCGCTATCACCGGTCTTGATGGACATGCATATGGCTCATGGAGGGGTAAGAGAAACCTTGGGCGGATGTGGTTGCGCCATTTTCTGTATCAAGACCTGCCCTACTGTCGCACGATGACCTATGGCTACAACTCGAAGCTCTCAGCCCGTGGGATCAACACCATTATGGACTATAGCCGGGGGCTAATGGAGGCACTCAAGAAAATCCGGAACACAGAGGAGGTAAGCTCTATTACAACATGCTGTTATAAGAGCACGAATCAGAGGCTAATAAATACACCGCTCTAGCTAAGGCAGCGACCACTCTTCTTCATCGCACACAGCTTTGGCGGTATAATACTTGCTCATGTAGGTTATCCGTTGTAACTCACATGTAAAAAGCTTAATAGCAGTATAGTGCCTTGTAAAGGCGGTTCAAACAAACGAAGACGATCATCCGACGATTGCAACGCTCCACAAGGCTACATACGGGATGCTTCTCTTTGGGATTCCGCATAAGGGGTTAGTGGTAAATGATATCGAAAAGATGCTGGCTGGTCAAGATAACCACCCACGGAGCGCGCTGCTTCAGCAGATCAGAGTCAAGTCCAACTTGCTAGAGAATCAGCTAGCTGATTTCAAGAATCTGGTCCGAGACCGGAAGATTGTAAGCTTCTATGAAACAAGGCAGACTAGGCAGCTTCAATTTGTAAGATAATATGGTATAAGTAGCACCTAGGAGTGGCTAACACTAGTAATAGGACAGTGACAACCAACGCTGGGAAAGAACTGGCGACTTCATTTCCAAAGTGGACAACGACTCAGCTCTGCTTCAACTCCCCGACTTTATGGAGGACAAGATCCCCCTAGACTCGGATCATTCAATGGTGGTGAAGTTTAGTAATAGAAATGATATAGGGTATACCAGTGCGCTGGATAAGCTTCGGCAGTTTGAGCAGGAGGCTTCTAACGTAGTGAAGGCTCGCTTTTGTAAGTAGCTTAAGTGCTTCTCGCCGGTTCTATGTAAATCGAAGACGGTCTTTATTCAATCAGCCTTGTGCTTGATTTTAGCTAATACCAACTTGTAGCACGAGTCCAACAGACTTCAAACGTGAAGTGTAAGTTTAGCCACCCTCAGCAATATCTACGAATTACTTACTAAAAGTCCAGATCTTATACCCTATACAAGTAATCCAGACTTTGTAGGACGCTCAAAAATCTTTAAAATATTAAAGGACCAGCTGGGCAGACACAACAGGCGAGTAACACATCTCAAGCAAGAACATCGTTATACGGCTTAGGCGGGACTGGGTACGTTATTAACCCTTCTAGTTTAATCATATGCTAACAGGGGACAGTAAAACGCAAATCGCATTAGAATATGCATGGGTAGAAGGGAACGAAAGAAAGAGGAAAAGTATTTCTCGGTCGCAGCACTTGAGATTATATCCAGTCTCTTCCCGGTCAGCGGACCAGAGGTATGGGACGAATGCGAGAAGTACATCACACACGCACAACAGGCGTGTGAGTGGGCTACGCTCTGTGGAAGAGAGTTAACGGCCGCGAACTTATTAGCAAAACTTTCGGATTATTTATACGATCGTGGAAGATGGAGAGAGAGGGAGATTGCAGACCAAAGAGCATATGGACTACGAAAGACCGCCTTGGGCGACAAGCATCCTGATACAATCGAGAGTATGGCAAGACTTGCAGCGACATATCATGCACTCGGCAGGTATAAAGAGGATGAGAGGATATCAGTGGAAGTGCTTGCACTACGGCGGGAGATTCTTGGCGATAAGCATCCTAATACAATCGAGAGTATGGCAGATCTTGCAGCGACATATCGCGCGCTAGGGAGGGATGAAGATGCAGACAAGTTAGCTTAGAGTTAAAGTTAAGGTTAAGCTAGGTGCGTCATTCTCGCGCTGTCAGGATCTCTGTGCTCTGAAATTATAGAAAAAGCCAGTTGTTAGGAATCAGGAGAAGATGCTGTAAAAGCATTGATGAAATGAAATACGCAAATATATTGCTCGTGATTTAAGTATAAATTAAATCCAAAATTAAATATTCTCTATGATTTGAATCTGATCAAAAATGTAACCGCAAAGCCAATACGGGGCAGAGCGATGATGCATCCTAACATTGCATAAGTAGTTACGAGATATCTGTGACTTGCTGCTGTCGTAGCTAATGACGATTACTACGTACCCAACAGTCTAAGTGGCACTGTCAAGTCCGAGCACGTGAGCCAAAGGTTACTATATACTTGAAGCTACTTGAAAGAACTTGACTCTGATGGTCTATTGCGGATTTTAGGGCACGCGCTAGGGCTTCTTCAGCCATTTTATTCAGCCACTTCTGGTGGTCCAGACTTGGTCGAGTACTGTAGAGTACTACAAGGTACCGAGGGTCTATGCGCCTCCTCTTTAAAGAAAGACGGAGTGTGGAAAAGAGGAAGCCGATTATGAACATCACTGTATGTAATATTACTGTATCACTATTATTTTGTTTTTACTACCATGCAGCACGATGCGGTGCTTTACGCATATTGTTATACTACTGCCCATGCCTTTAATGCAAGCTCATATTTTGAAGCCACGAGTCTATCTAATTGATTCGCAAAATAATCCTGTGCCTTCAAAATGCACAATGGGTGAATTTGCATGCGGCGGCACAGAATACGGCTCCTATGACTCCTCGTACAAGTGCGTCGAACCAGGGATTTTCTCATATCAAGGCTCATGTAGCCCTGGTTGCTGTAGTTTCTCGCCTTACAACGTTACATATTGCTGCTGCTGAGTCAAAGGCCGGTTTAACCCTAAGCCGCCAATCAATGCCATATGGGTCGTCAAAATGGGTTACCGAATATGCTAGTGATACTTTAGATATGGGATACTTAATGTAACAATATATTGATTCTTACTACGGCTTATATATAATAAAGGGGCATGTGTTCTAAAGATGGAATAAATCTAACAGAGCTTGGCATAGAGGATTTATAGGTACAGTAAGTGGAAGCTTCTTATGACAGACTCATTTATATTGAGGGTGAGTTCTGAAGGTAACCCAAGGTTAGGTTTGCATTAATACCATTGTAGGGCATAATGTAGGCAATTTCATTATGCGACTAGTAAGCTGAACAATAATATTTTTTGCTAAATGTTACATAATGTATAACTGAATATGTATGCTATTTAATAAGTAGTATAGCTAAACCTTGTATATTGGGCCGATATTCCCATGCTAACTCAGGTTAACAAGCAGTCTTGATCTGCATTTTTTTTATTAACTTGTCGGTCTGTACTTGGTTATCTATCAGACAGCCATAAGACAAGGATAACAGTGTTCAAGCTCAAAATTTATCAATTAAGATAATAGGGTATGGTAGACAATTCATTGTTCCGCCAATTAGGTGGATCAGCACGGTCATAATCCAGCCCAAGTTTAAATGAAAGCGCTTCCATTATAATGTCCTGACGGTCCATTAGGAAATGTCCCTTAGACGAATCATACTTCTTCCCCTTCCACGGATTTTTATGATCGATACCTGGGCATTCCTTTGCTCGAATCTTGCTGACTGTAACGCGGCCAACATTTGGTTTAACCCAGCCTTTATCTTTTGCTCCCTTTACAAATCTTTCCGGATATGTTTGACCTATAGTGTAATATACCTCTTGGTCTCCATTGGGACGTTCTTCGACAATGCAACCATGTTCATCATTGCCTTCTATAAAAAAATCAATGCCAATATATATAACTGTCCCCTTAAATTTTTTAATTTCTTTACGCCACCAAATTGCTGGTGTATACTTGGCTTTAATTTTAGCAGTTTTAATTTTGTTTTGTATGGTTTTAATAGCTTCCTCTTTTGTGTAAATCTGGGAATTGGTTTTTGTTTCAAAAATACCGTGGACATAAACAGTATTATGAGGTAATTTCTTCTTCGCATATAGCTCGAACGGCTTTAAATCCTTTTTATATTGGGTCGTGATTATGTATAAAACCTCTTTGTTTACTTCCGACACCGGCTTATTAGATTTATTAGATTGTATAAACTCAGGCTTTAAGGGTTCATTGACATTATATTCAGATTGGTGAGACATTTTATAAGCTATTGCTTAATTATAATCTTGTAATAAGGAATTACTGTAACAGCAGATAAGTTAACGATTACAGTTCCTTGCTAAATTGCAATAGTGAGCAGCGGAATGCCAGGCCATTATATAAGAAAACCTGCTACTGTAATCTGCTCTCATTATTGAGGCTGCGTTATATACATACATAAGTACTGTCCCTTCTGGCATAATGGAGAACTAGAAAGGGAGAAAAAGATAAGAAAGCAACTTTATGCTGCTGCATCCATAAATGGCATAAACAGGGGGCTTCTCAGAGTATCTCGATTTGGTACCTCAAACGTTTATCGAACTAACCAGAACGCTGTAGTTTCCTATACTGAGATTTTTTGACTCGTCCACTTGTAACTCGCTCTAGTTTGGCTCGTCTGCGTGTGACGCGCTCCTCTGTGCGAAGCGACACTTTGTGAACAGATTTAACGTGATTTCTATATTCATCTACGCTCCATATTTCTATCCCAGCTTCTTGGCATCTTGGATGCATGCATGGGATGCGCTCTTTAGCTTGCTCGGCTTCCTCCTTTGCTTCCAAGTGTAGATTATCAAAGTGATCTTGTAACACAGGTGGGCGGCAAAATTCAAATAACCGTTGATAGTACATAAGAAAGCATCTTATCACCGATGCATTCTGGGCATTGCGTCTCTTTCATGACAAGGGGGAAGGAGGCAGGCTCAGGCAGCTCCTCCGTCGCGGTGAGTCCGGCATGTTCCCTCTGCTGAATGCACCTGCGATTTGGTGCCTCTCGTCTTTGATTTAATATTGTCATAAGCTCAACGACCTGGATACGGACCTTGTTGAGTTCTTCAGAGTTCAAATTATCGACTTGGTTGACGAGGATTTCAGCTAACTTAGCCCGTTCGGGGATATGAAGGTTGATGGCTGGCCGCATATATTCTTCTTCTTCTTCTTCTTCTCCTTCATCATCTTCTACCTCTCCTCTGAGCTGTCTCTCAACTTCCCAGTTTGAGGAATTTTGGAAGTAGAACCGGCGGAATCTGATCTGGATTTTTTTCGTCCGTTGTGATTTCTTCGTCCGAATTTTCCGGACTAGTGCTCGAATTTCTTTTTCATTGTCACGGCCTTCGATTCGAAAATCATTTCCTTTCAGGTTTGCGAGCTCACTCTGTAGTTCCGTAAATTGATGAAAATGATCCCCAAACCCCTTGCGGTATTCTCATCTGCGAGCAACTTATTTAGGTAATTAAGTGCCTCAATACCAACAGTCACTGCCGTTGACATCGCAGCTTCCATAAGGTATACTGTTAAGCTAAATAGGGCAAAATATTAGGCCAATAATCACTATTGTAGCAATTATTGCAACAGAACCAGCTGTTTATTATAAGAGATATAACTGTTACGGTAAATCAGGTCGTAATAATAATGATTATAAAATAAAATAATAAAAGGTTTAGATAAATTGTTACCTTGAAAAAAGTAAGATCATTAAATTTGTTGTTAGTTTTACTGCAGGAATCTTGCTGCTTTATACAGTGAAACTGGTCGAGGCCTATTTACAGGAGTCAAGTGGTGGGGTACCTACCATACGGCTTAACCTGGGGCCGAGTTTACCCCATAGAAATAACATATATCTTTAGGGTTAAGAAGGACGACTGGCAACAAACTATAGAACATTGCCTCTCCAATCACAACGAGTGGACTCGCTACGCACAAAATCCTCTTGGAGAGTGTTGCTGGCTCCCAATTTACTCTTCTTTACCTAAAGAGAAAAGGGATGCCTGGCGCAAAAAGCCCAAAATCTTCTAGATCTATAGCGGCAGTCAAATCACTTCCTGCAGCACGCTTAGATTCATGGAGCTTAATAGTGCTTGCTCTTGCAAATGGGGCCCGACCAGAAGTTATCCATAGTTCCAATGGAGGCTTCTTCGCAGAACTCAGCGGAAAATCTTTTGTTCTTACACTATGGCAACGAGACGTTAGCGCATAAATGATGGGCCATATTGAACCAAGGGATCTCCTCTCAGATCAACATACACTCATGACCTCTTCGGAATGGCAAAATCTGCTCTGGTATGGGCACTCTTTCAGCGAACATCATCATATATTTGGTTGGCCCTTGAACGGGACTCCGTCAAAAGAACCACCGAAAAATTTGGCAACAAATCATCATGACGGAGAATTAATGCACTTGGTCATCGATTATCAATGGACAAAACGCCTGCAGGATCAGCTTCGTCATGCTCTATATGCATGCTATGATTCCTAGGTTGATTTTGAAGAGAAGAATCCAAGGATAGGTCAGACGGATGAAATTGAGAAAATCAAAAATCATCTTAAGAGCTTTAAACTTATCCTTGTTGATGAAGTTAAGCCCGATGAAACTGCATTAATCCTGGAACTAAGGCATAATGATACACTCCATTATGCCACAAAACAACTGGAATCTATCGAACTGTTTAGGAACAACTATGGTGGAGAAAATCAGAATAGTCAAATTTTACAAGAGATACTGCAACGTCACAAAGTAGTCCTTGCTCTTATACGACTTCTAGTCCTACCGCACAGGGTTGATTTGGTTTTAAGTACTCGAGCTACTGGCACATATGTTTCAATAGTCTAATATATAAACCCCGACTTATGTTGTTCCTAAGCGCAGTCATGAAATGATATATAGACTACACAATCGCTAAAGCCTGGAGATCAATATCGCTTTTGGCCACACTAGGCGAAATCTTAGAATCAGTAATGACCGAGAGGCTGTCTCACGCCGTTGAGACCTATGGCCTACTTCCAATAAACTACTTTGGAGCCCGCAAGCAGCGATTTGCAGAACAGGCGCTGATGGTTCTGCAGGAGTACATTTACATAGCCTGGAGGAGAGGCCATGTAGTAAGCCTAATTAGCTTTGATGTAAAGGGGGCTTACAATGGAGTATGCAAAGAAAGATTGCTACAGTAACTGAAAGCAAGAGGGATCCCACCTGGACTAATTAGATGGATTGAAGCATTCTGTTCACACCGCACGGCTACAATTCAAGTCAACGGCCAGAACTCCGAGATATAGAGCTTACCACAGGCAGGCCTGCCACAAGGGTCTCCATTATCTCCCATTCCGTACCTCTTCTTTAACGCAGACTTGGTGCAACGACATATGATGCAAATGGGGGCGCAATTGCGTTTGTGGACGACCTCACAGCTTGGGTGGCGAGCGCAACGGCCTAACTCAACCATGACAGACTTCAATCTATTATTAACCACGCCTTAGATTGGGAGCGAAGAAGCAGTGCAACTTTTAAAGCTGATAAGACGGCAATTATCTATTTTACTAAGAATGTAAATAAGCTGAGTAATGAACCCTTTATAATTAAAGGGCGAGACGTTTACCCTAAAGATCACGTTAAGATTCTAGGTCTAATTATAGCTACCCGACTTAAATATAAGCAACACATTGCCAGAGCAGCGTCGAAAGGCTTGGAAGCAGCATTAGAATTGACGAGACTTAAAGGCCTACCCACTGCAACTACCCGACAATGTTTTCCACCACAGTAGCCCCAATAGTAGATTATGCCTTTAATATTTGGATGCATGCTTATAAGTATAGAAATACGGCCCCTATTAACTATATTTAAAGAATAGGAGCGCAGGCGATTGTTGGGACATTTCTTACTGTAGCAACAAGCATTGCAGAAATAGAGGCATCAATACCTACCGCACTAGAGCGCTTCTGGAAACGAGCAATAAAGCTCTGGGTTAATATTCATACTCTGCCTAAAACAAACCCCCTTTATAGGATAACATCACGGGTGCGGAAATTTTACCGGAGCTATCGGTCGCCGTTTCACTAAATTGCATACAGACTTAAAGACGTGCCGCTAGAGGAACTGGAATCCATACAACCATTTGCACTGACGCCGTGGGAGAAACGAGTCCAAGCCTTTAACTATGAAAATGCAACCAAACAACCAGAGGCGGAATAGGACATTCGTGTAGCCGTGCACAGCTCTGCACGTAACGACGTAGTAGGGAAGTAGGGATCGGTGGAGTTGTCCGTGGCACGCCGTTTATCAATGGGGACGTAACAAGTGAGGAGTTCTCCTTCACTCTAGGTCTCAGAACCGAACAGAACTCATATTCCAGAGAACTAGCAGCAATGGCGCATGCGTTAAATATCCTACCGAACATCAGTCACCGCCATATAGCACTCCTAACCACTAACAAAGGAGTTGCCCTTAGCCTCCGGAATCCCCAGCGGCAGTCCGGTCAAGTATATATCCGCTTTATCTATAAAGTATTGCCAAGCTATGGTGGAACGGAAATGGTTTATTAGTATTCTAGGTTCCTAGCTCTGATAAAAACGAGCTTCTGCAGTTAGCCAAGCGAGAGGCAAGACAGGCAAGCAAGGAAGGGGCTACTCTAGCGAAAATATTTCCTAGAATGAAATCCACTACCCTAAACTTAAAAAAGAAGAAACTTACTAGTGAAAGGCACTTTCCAGACGGGGTTGGCATATATTTAAAAAGAGTGGATGCGGCCCTTTTAGGTCAGCATACTCGACAGCTATATGAAAACCGACCCTGGATAGAACGCAACATCTTAACCCAGCTGAGAATAGATATGTCGAGATTTAATAACTCTCTTTATCGGATAAATGCAGCACCATCCAGGCAGTGCGCCTATGGCCATGAGCCAGAGACAGTAGCACATTTCTTATTTCAATGCACAAGATGGGATGCGTACCGCACGGAGATGTACCAATGCAGTGAAACTAAAAGAGGAAATAGTTCATTCTTTTTAGGAGGAAAGGCGCCATCCGATGGACCAGACTGGATGCTGAATTTAAAGGCAGTGTAAGCAACATTACGCTTTGCATTGGCCGCAGGAGCTAGTGAGAGGTAGCAATGATCGGCACCGCGAAATCGATATATAGATTGCCGCTCGTCACCTAGTATGACAAGTTGGGGAGAATGACCGTCAGCCTCCCGTTTGTTAGCTAGGATGAAGCAATTAGTTAGCCAGTAGATAATTTCAGTACAATCCTGAAATTCATCTAAAGTGATAATATCAAATGGCGTAAAATTCCATCGAGGAAGCGAATTGCAACGAAGGACTCTCCCTCTTTGTTCTAATAGTTCAGCATTATTACGCACAACAGTTCCAAAAAGCGAGCCGGCCATCCCGTGAAAAGTGAAAACCTCGCAATTATTATAAGTATGAAGCCGATGACGCGTCTCAAGTTGAAGTCTCTTCAAATAAGTGATCACCGCTACTCGCTTGTCCGGATGGGCAGCGATAATAGCTTCAGCTGTAGCCGTTTTGCCCGATCCTGGCCGCGCTGACACTACTACATTTTGCATACGGCAGAGTCTTACAACTCTCCGTTGCTTAATGGATGGGGTAAACGAAGGCTTTAAAGACTTCTTCTCCCATTATTGAAGTAGGTCATGACTGTGCGTGGAGAATCAAGAGCTTTTAAGCCAGAAAACCTAAAACTAATGTATTTAAATGCTAGCGTTAATATTGTCTAATATATGCTTAGACTGCAGATATTTTATTTACTTACTTATAGCTTAATTATATGCGGTAGTTGGACAATCATCTTAGTTTTAACATCTATGAAGGTGGGAACATTTGGGCTTTTAGTTGAGGCTTAGTTTAGGTTAAATACGTGCTAATTATAATTTAAGCGGGCATAATATATTAATGTTGATGATGTATATGTATAGAAGAATATAAAAACCAATGGCTGTATCTGGAACTGCGATAGGTAGTAACCAGGCTGATGAATTTAGACGCTACCACTTTGCGAGTTTAAAGGTGAGCGTTTTATAAACATGTTATTATTGTTGTTTTCACTAAGGAAGATGATGTAAGATTTTAAAGGTGGCGTAAACTTAATATATAGGAGCCTTTTTTAATCGTTGTATTGGTTTTTCCAGGAGTAACGGCTTATGCGAGTACCTTCCATTAGTACTGATTTCATGTACCGAGTGCTTCAGTAACGATACGCAAGGTCTAGGGAAGATATATTATAATATCATGCAAATACCCTTCCGCTATTTAAATAGATTAAACTTCTTATAAACTTATGGAAAAATTGATGTAGATATAATGTAGATAAACCGTTTGCTTCTAAGGTCAATCGAAATTGTCAGAAATTAAATTATTCCAGTCAGTACGCATATTCATTGCGGCCTAGATCATCGATTTGGCTGAATCTGTATGAATGTATACATTCATTCATTCATTTATTACGCCCTGTGGAAAGTCCAAAAGGGCAACTATGAACCTATAGCATGTGTACATTCTGAAGCTTAGCTTTTGTTTCATGGAAGCCCATGAGTCCTTGTCATCCAGTTTCTGCTTTTACAATCTGTTCTCGTGCTTCGCTACGGTTTCTCGTGTTTTATTATTTTATTATTCTTTACAGCGGGATAGCTTGGTCTTTCCCCAAGTGTTTAGGATTTTATCTACGGCAGCTGAAGCGGCGTCTGCTGTTTCTAGCACGAGGTGCTAATGGGAGTTGGGTGGTGAGTTAGTAAAGCGTACTATGTATCATTGACGGTAAAGAGATTTGGCAGTTTGACCGGCCTGGGGAGAAAGAGGTTTTGCGGATTTAACTGCCTTACAACACAAATTACAGCCAAGCAAACGTCAATGCAAATGATAAATCTGGCAAAACAGCTACAGAATTGACTGACCTAGATCCCACAATAGGACGCGGACATGAAGCGCTTTGAGCATTAAATTGCTGGGTGTATTTGGCACGGTTCCAGAGGCGAGAAGTGTTAGAATGAGGCGGGTCATGCAGCTCTCTACGTCGCCACCAGTGAGCTGGGCATCAAGAGCGGTAGCCCAGGCGCTGACTCGAGCCACTTCTTGCTCAGGGGTGAATCCGGTCAAAAGTTGGTAAGCACGAACGCCAAATACATTGCGTACACTAAGTTTGAGCGTCTTGAGCATTAATGCGGCGGCTTCCAGGAAAAGGTTGTGGTGAGGTACCCAGACAGTCTGGATCGCCGTCTCCTAAACACGACGGCGGACACTGATGGGAGATGCGAGAGAAGGAGCAAGGTGTATAGCAGTAGATTGCTGCTTTTTGGGGCTTCGATTGAACAAAGAAAATATTGATGGTATGAAAAACCACAGTATCAGGCCGAAAAGCAGTATAAATTTGAGAGAAAGCCGGCTTCTATTCCGACCCAATGCAAATGGAGCTGTGATGGGACATATCTGAGAAGCTGTAAGGGGACGGCGAATAATCCGCGGCCTTGGGGCTCTTCGTTGCTGGTCTCGTCTTCCCGAACTGCCTCCAATATCATCAGTCCGGCCAGCGAGCCCACCATCAGTTTGCCGAAATAGGGCCAGCATTGTTCCATCCGTTTTGCTGCCGTTGCTGCTGCATTTGCCGAATCTATTGCTAACAGACCACTGCTGGATTCGGGCGGAATAGTTGCTGCTGCTAAGGCACAGGATATGGCTGGCCAGTCGCCATTTGGGCAGAAAGGATTCGTTTCATGTCCTTCGGAACATCGATCACATCAGCGGGTCCCTGCACCACCTTCTTGAGAAATTTTAGCGAAGAGGGTGTCATTTGCGGCTGCTGCTGCTGTTGTTGTTGTTGTTGCTGCTATTCTAGGATTGCTGTGACTGTTGCTGGGATTGGCCATCTTGGGGATACTGCATCGGTGTGGGCTGCTGCATCGAAGGAATAGAACCATTCATGGCACCAGCCATGAGTAGCTTCTCGAAAGCGGCGATTCTCTGGTGCATGACGTCATTTTCATCCAGGAGTCTGTTATTCCTCTTTTCCAAGTGCCGAATGTATTCCGTGGATTTACTTAAAACCTATTTATTAAGCGTTTAGTGATTCTGATATTCATCGCCCCCCCTTAATCGTAGCGTCATACAACAGTAAACCCTGAGGTTACCTACAGTTGCTTTATTGAGCTTATGGGCTGGTGTAAGACCATGTAATTCTTCACGGCCTTCGGTCGTGTCCTCTCCCCGTGCGCTCTTGCACACGATACGCAAGCTAGGGACACTATCTCTTAAGGCGGCAATCTTGTCATTGATGTTGGTGCGATAGCGCTTCTCAATCATGTTGTGAGCAGTCTTCTTGACCGGCTTACCGCCTTCCTCAAAAAGGTCATCGTCGTCAAAGTCATCAGCTGAAGCCTTTCGCTTCCGAGAGTCTCTATCGGAGCCTCCAGAGACGTCAGGCGATGAGCTGATTCCCGTCTTCGCCGACTCGGGGCTGGAGGCGCTCTTGGGCGATCCGTACAGAAGATGAGGGGGCATGGCGATGTTTCGCAGCTGTTCCTGCACAGCAGGACTCAACTTAGTCACAGAGCGTAGGGGAGCTTTTGACACGGGGAGGGCAGCTCCCCGCTTGGTAGCCACTTGACTGGAGAGGTAGACTGACATAGCATCGATGTGGTGCAGACCGAAGCCACCAAAACCGGAAGAATCGGGTAGCTGTTGCTGCTGTCGGGGGTCGAAGGTCGGGGACGGCCAGGACGGGCACAAGTATCTTGGATGCGCTGAGGGGAGAGCGGTGTTGCTGGCACTGCTGATGTCGTACGAGCTGGTTTGCGGCGAGGCATCTAAAGACCAGACGCCAGCATCTAGGAAAACGCCGGAGGGATCGCCGTTGGGGAGAATTGGAGGATCTGAGATTGCATCGAGAGGCACGGGGCCACCGCCTATGAATCCGAAGCTCGGGTCGTCAAACCCAAGCCCGCTGGTGCCATCCTCATTGGCCATAGGAGGGGAAGAAGGACACTTTGGGGAATGGCGGCCAAAGACCGGATCAGCTCATGCAGCGACAACCGGCTCGACAGACCGAAAACGGGCAGAATCTGAGCCCAGATGAGAAAGCGTCAGGGTCTAATGAAAAGTCACTCGATTGTTGGGAGAGTTGGGAGAGAATCGTGCGGTCGACGAGAGAAGGTGGACTGAGTGATGCAGAAGTTGTGGACGCTCTCACGAGCGATAGCACGATCAGATCAGCTGTTTTTTTTTTTTTAAAGTGTCTTCCCTGGCGCGCCCAGGGAGTATACAGTTTAAAGAGGGCGGAGCTGAGTCACTCGAAATGTCTTCAGCCGTGGGCTTGGCTGCGTGAGCACATTTTCTGTGCTACCCCGACTTAGCTATTGGGGAATCGACAGCCTGTTTAATTTTTTTCTTCTCAGCTCCTTCTTCCCGCTGGAGTATAGATACCGGTTCATCCCGAACCAAGGAAAAAAGAAAGGAAAAAATGAAAATGAAAAGGAATTAAAAAGCAAATGTCAAATTCCAGCTGGTCTCGTCTCTCAGCCACAGCCCTACTCCAGACCCTGAGTGGCTGTTCGGAGTACCACTTAAGCCCGGTAAGCAAGGGCGCCGCCATACTAGGGGATCACCACCAAGTACTTCGCCTTTAATTCTTGGCCTGTGTGGCTTTTTTTCAGCTGCGGCTCGCTATTGGCCTGCTCATGTCAGTCCCTTCTCGAGGCTCGCGGGAATGTGGAATCTGGAAAATGCTGTTGGGAGCCCCGAGTCCCGTCAAGCTGCTTGCCCTCCCAGTGTTGCTATATCTGTATCGTCCTGTGAGCTGTTGCAAGAGCTGTGGTTATCATCTCCCTCAAACGGCGATGTCTGGTTACTACAGTGCCTCTTTACTGGCAGAGTTAATAGCTTCGAGGGGATGATATCTCCTGCGCGAACGGCCGTTTCTAAACTGAGTGGCCTAAAATATTTTGCTGGCCTGTATAGCTACCTATAATCCCATAGCTGCTCCTTTAGTCCTTGCTTTAATAACATTAGCTTAAAGCTATACCACCAGCATTAGTAAATGTGTCAAATACTGGTGCGGCAAAAGGGGACTCTAACTCATTTATCTTACACACGCCATCTCTGAGCCACTAACACTTAGATATGTAACTACCGAAAAACTTACATTTGACGGGCCATATGAACCACTCTAGACTTATGGAGACACAGCCGCATCATTGACGTAACAATTAACAACGCACGACGTCACTATGTACTAAAACGATGCTTGACTTCAAATCTTCTCAGGAAAGGTTAATATGCTTTTTATGTAGGTGGAGCCACTATTATAGCTCAATACTGACGACATATTTTTGTAATAATGCGGGGTCAAGTATGTCGAGTGTATTTATATCTAGCCTAAACACAGCTAGTTAATTAATATCCAGAGAGACTAACACAAATACACGAGAAATACATGAGAGGCATGCAAGTTGCCAGCGATCAAGAAAGGGATTCAAATAAAGAGCTTTTATTTAATATATAACAATAACACTAGCGTTCAAGATTCCACTATACATTTCCCTTTCAGTTTGCAATCTTAATCACAACCTTTCCAAAGTGCTTTTGGTCCCACTGATACTGGTACGCCTTCTTGACATCATCAAATGAGAAGATGTTAGAGTCAATAACAGGGTAAATCTTTGCAGAATCAATGGCCCGGTTCATTTCCTCAAACTGTTGTCTGGAACCGACAAAGATGCCACGGACAATGCAAACATGTTTGAGAGCGTCCATCAGAGGGGGCTGTTTCTCAGATGGTGCGAGGAATCCGATGATAGTGATGACACCCTCCAGCTTGATGGCCTTGAGCGATTGTTCAAGGCTCCCAGCGCCACTGACCTCGAGAATGTGGTCGAATCCAGCGCCTTCAGGAGTCAGAGCTCTGGCAACCTCACCCCAATTAGGGGTCTCTTTGTAGTTTATAATGTGGGTGGCTCCTGGCTTCTTTAATATTCGCCCTTTTCCTTTGACGATGTAGTGGCGACAACGGTTGCGCCAGCAGCAGCGGCAACCTGGATACCTGAAAGACTGACACCACCGGTGCCCTGAGTCAAGACCCAGTCACCTGCCTTGATGGCCTTTGACTGCAGTCCGTAGAGGGCGTTCCATGCGGTCAGGGGAGCGCAGGTAAGAGTGCTGGCCTCAATAGCGTTCAAAGAAGTTGGGGCTTTGACAAGAGCGTGGTCTCCAAAAACGGCATACTCGCGCAGGGTACCATCAATCGCGCCGCCAAAGCCACTTTCAGCGGCTTCAGGAGTAATTGGGTTGGTCAGGTGGTGCTCGTTAAATAGCGTGCAAGCTCGGTCTCCCTTGGCCACTCTGATAACCTTGGGGCCAACTGCAAGGACGATACCGGCGCTATCAGACCCGGGAACGAAGGGAAGATTTATGGCAAAGGGGTAAAGTCCCTATCAGCCAAGTTAGATATCACAAAACATCTTCGCTGGGTTTACATACTTTAGGTATAGCCAAGTCTCTGTAGTTGAGAGACACGGCTTCGATCTGAACCAAGACATCATGATCGCCAAGCTTGGGAAGAGGATGTTCTCTTGCAGAACAAGCGAGTCAAAACTGTCTTTGTTAATCTCGCGGATAGACCATGCTCGGGTAGTACTTGGGAGGGCCATGGTGATAAGAGTATAAGATTATGAAGCTATTTAGGGTGAATCTATGGCAATGCAATAGCTTTATAAAGTTTAAGAGCTTTGGTCAATAGCGAGAAGTCGGATAATTGGCGTCTGTGTACAGGTATTTATACTAGGATGTGGAAAGCGGATTCATTGTGGACTCGCCCCGGTTATTATATAGGGACACGAGAAAAGAGACATAAAGAGTCAAGAAAATATGCGACGATTGAAGTCAAGATAGCTGCTCTAATGGATGATGGGTACTTCGACTTGGGTCCTATTATTGTCCCATTACAATAGAGCCCCTGACGCTCGGCGATGGTTCAACCGAGGTCTCATTTGGGCTTATGGCTTCAATACGCAGGAGGCGTCAAGGTGTTTTGAGAAAGTTAGTCAGGCTGGTGGCTAACTGACCGCCTCCCCAAACCCGTTTCACTAAAACTCTACTATATTGTTCTGTGCAAACGTTGCTTCCGGTGCGCTACTCTCTCTATAGAATATGGTTTGCGGAGATACTTCAGATTACCTGAAAGTACTTCGAATATTGTTAACGTCCAAAATGGTACTAAATCTATATGATATTATAAGGATCACTAGTGAGTACCATAGCGTTCGAGGTATATTCAAGTATCCAGAGGTAGATAGAAAACACGCTAGACCCACAGCCCCACCACGACAGTGCGGCCTTCTGTCCTCAGTACTTTCCTTTGTTAGCAGGCTACAGTAGCAAGCGAAATGAGTGGCCTTTGTCAATGTAAGGTTTCTCTCCCCTCCGAACCTCCATAACAGGCTCTTTTTATCACCGACAGATACTTACTCTGTTAGCTGCCGCGTTGCAGCATAGCCCAATTAATGGTATGATGCGACGAAACTTGCCCGCTGATAATAGTTCAAGCAGGCATCAGGCATCTAGCTGCAGTGACCGCACGATGTTCGGAAAATCATAGAAAATCGAGCAAATAGCGCTGCCCCGCATCAACGAAAAGGTGGCCTCCTGTATTGGTCGAAGCAATACCGCCCTATCATCCATTGTATGAAATGACTGCACGTAAGCAGCTCATTTAGCAATCTAATATTTATCAAGACGGGGTATTCAATTACTATGAAACTAGCCTCGCAAATAGACGCCGCCCTCGAGGACTATGTCAACATCTAAAACTCAGTCCATATTATTAAAGTAATGGATTATACCTGAAACTAGGGACGGGCCGCGATACACGCTAACACAGCCAGGCAAAGCAAGTGCCATTAAGCTGTTTTACCTTCAATAATTTTAATTAAAGTTATCCATTATTATCGTGTAGTCAAACCTTGCTTCTGGTATATGCAAAATAGAATGATTAATAACATAAAGTCAGATTGCCTACCTAATTAATTATCCCTTCATCGAGACAATTTGGTGGTATATCAGGGCGTTCAATTGGTCAATATCTAAGGTGAGGGGTTAAGCAGGCTGCCAACGTCATATATTTCTCAAGGCTGCACTCAACGGCTCTTCTCCCATAAAACTATTAACAACTTGATATGATAACTTTCGGAGTCTTATAACCATAATGAATCCAAGAACGCCACATTTATGCGATATCACGAATAATACTTTTGGTAACAATACTACGATCCATCAAGGCGATATCCACAACCACGACGGCCACGCGCGTGGTCAGGCAGACCCTTGCTTAGCAGACTTACGAATCACCGATCCCCGCGATGACAAGACGCGCATCGAAGAAACTAAAGGCGGCCTACTTAAGGACTCATACCGCTGGATCCTCGACCATGCCGACTTCCAGATGTGGCAAAACGATCCACAGTGTCGGCTACTCTGGATTAAAGGGGACCCTGGTAAGGGAAAGACCATGCTGCTCTGCGGTATTATCAATGAACTAGAGAAGCTTGCAGCATATCGCCTATCATACTTCTTTTGCCAGGCCACTGAAACAAGACAAAGAAGTGCGACGGCTGTGCTGCGTGGGCTTATCTACGGTCTTGTTATTCAACAACCATCGCTTATCTCTCATGTGCGAGAAAAATACGATCACGCAGGCAAACAGCTATTTGAAGATATAAACGCCTGGACAGCTCTATCTAAGATCTTAAAGGCAATACTTAATGATCCCTGTCTTAAAGATGTGGTCTTGATCATTGACGCGCTCGATGAGTGCATAGAAGAACTTCCACGCCTTCTTAACCTTTTGAGAGAGACTTCCTGGTTCTCTTCTTCGTCCTCCCATGTCAAGTGGATTGTGTCAAGTCGTAACTGGCCTGTCATTGAGGATAGACTCAAAAATGCTGAGCAGAAGATCAGTCTATGTCTCGAGCTGAATGAGGATTCCATATCCGCAGCTGTTCAAACTTATATTCATTATAAGGTGAATCTTCTAGCGGAAGAGAACAGCTATAAAAATAAGATACGAGAAGAGACCGAGCGCTACTTACTTTCTAACGCCAATGATACCTTTCTTTGGGTGGCCTTAGTGTGTCAGAATCTCAACAATGTCGGTAGCCGGAAGGTACAGAAAAAGCTGAAAACTTACCCACCTGGTCTTAATTCTCTTTATGAGCGGATGCTAGACCAGATACTCAAATTAGACGACGACGACGATGTGTGTCTCTGCAGAAACGTCCTTGCTATAGTATCGACAGTCTACCGGCCAGTTACCTTGCATGAACTTCATTCTCTTATTGGAAGTCCTGAGGAGTTTTCAGAAGACATCTCGTTATTTGCAGAGATAATACGTCTCTGCGGCTCTTTTCTTACCATTCGTGGTGATACAATCTACTTTATCCATCAATCAGCGAAAGATCATTTGACTACAGATGAAGCCTGGTCAACTATCTCTCCTTCTAGCGCAAACGATATTCATTACACTATATTTTCTCAATCGCTTCAATCTATGAATGCCACGTTACGACGTGATATCTACTGCTTGGGAACTCCCGGATACCCTATCAGCCACGTCCAACAACCCAATCCAGATCCCCTGATCGCCGTACGGTACTCATGCGTGTATTGGATTGACCATCTCTGCGACTACAACATTGGCGATCATATTAAGGGTGCTCTCCAAGAGGGAGGCTTAGTTGATGTATTCCTGCGTTATTATTTTCTCCACTGGTTGGAGGCATTAAGTCTTCTGCAAAGCATGTCAGAAGGCACCCTTGGCATAGCAAAGCTTACAAACCTACTTGCAGTTAGTTTGCGTTTAGTCTAATTAGGTTTATACATAAACTAACTAAAGTAGGAACAAACGCCTGGGAGCCAAGTATTAAGCTTGGTACAAGATGCCAGAAGATTTACTCTTCGAAATAAATGGGTGATTGAATCTACGCCGCTGCAAGTATATGCGTCTGCTCTTATCTTTAGCCCTCTACAGAGTAAAATTAGAAAAATATTCAAGGATGAAGAGCCGTCATGGATGTTAATAAAGCCAGCTGTGGAAGCAGGCTGGGATGCCTGTCTGCAGACTCTAGAGGGCCATAAAGACTTGGTAGGATCGGTGGTCTTCTCACCGGATGGCCAGCGGCTCGTCTCAGCTTCAGACGATAAAACAGTCAGAGTATGGGATGCAAACTCAGGCGCCTGTCTGCAGACTCTAGAGGGCCATAAAGACTTGGTAAGATCGGTGGTCTTCTCACCGGATGGCCAGCGGCTTGCCTCAGCGTCATACGATAACACAGTTAGAGTATGGGATGCAAACTCGGGCGCCTGTCTGCAGACTCTAGAGGGCCATGAAGGCTCGGTAACTTCGGTGGCCTTCTCACCTGATGGCCACTATGGCCACTATGGCATAAGCTCTGACAAAACATGGATTACAAAAGATAACAAGCCTCTGGTTTGGCTGCCTGTAGAGTATCGACCAACTGCATCAGCTGTGTTTGGAGCTACAGTTATTATCGGGTGTAGTTCAGGTCGGGTATTAGTAATGGGGTTTTCTATAGACTAGGCTAGTTAAGAATGAAGTCGGTTTTATTCTATCATCGCTACCTAACCCATAGCCACTGAGGAAGACCGTATATTAATATGACAAGAGCTTATATAATGGAATAGTCAAACGAAGTCAGTTCTACTAGGCTCGATCGGTCCATTGACTACCGCTCGTCCAAAGACAAGGCCTTAAGGGGTGCGTAAGACAACATACCCTATATCTCGTATGTTTTAATAACTTTGTATTGGAGGGTTGAAGGGGCCTTTTGTAATATATAGTATCTGGGTTAACCCCAGGTAGGACTGTGTCACTACTTCTGTTATACTGCAAGTCTGCTGATAAGATAATGGCGACGGTAGCCGCAACTAGGCGCCGGAAATGGCATTTTACACAAAAACGGACGGAACTCTTAGGACCACCATAAGAGAGTACATGATGACTATAAAATGTTGGTTAAAGAGACTTCAAAATACCAAAAAGCACTTCTCATTTTTCTTGAAGTCCAAAATGGGACTAAACTTACATAGTGTGTTATAGAAGATCACTAGTGAATACCATAGCGTTTGAGGTATATTTAAGTCTCTAAAGGTAGCTGAAAAGCACGCTAGACCCACAGCTCCGTCACTACAGCCCCGACCTTCTGCCCTCAGTACTTTCCTTTGTCAGCGGGCTACCATCAAGGGGCCAGTATCACATGATCCAGGTCACCTCTTAAGGTATTGCTCCATTCTAATCAGGCTGAACCAAAGTTTAGATTGGGGGTCCGCATTAGTCCACTATAAGATATGAAATGCCACACTGCTTCCTGCAATTAATTCTTGTGCTTCAACTTTGTGAATAGCTTCATGGAGGAAATCTTGATATTAGCATTCGCTGGGCAAACCGCTACACTCATGGCGCCGATTCACGTGATCGCCTGGAATAGTGGGGTATGGATGCGGGCGGGGTTGAGGTTGTGCCTTTGTCGTGATTCAAGTAAAGCGTCGCAAACAACGGAGAGAGTGCTTTGTAAAGCATCAACAACCATGAGTCAGAGTTATAACTGGCCGAATGACGATGAGACCGACTCTCAGAGCCCTAATAGTCCGAGTTCTAGCGAGGAGTCTCAGCCTGCGACCACGGCGGTAAGGAGCCGTCTGAGACCTGCAGGGAAACACCCTGCGTCTCTGCCATCTGCCGACCAAGTTTCAGACACATCGGACGAAGAAGACCGAACGATATCATATAATATCCAGTGGAAACTATCCATTAATCATAGAAAGCGGGGAGGCTGCTCCGAGTTAGGTGTAGTAACACCGATACGGATCTTTTGGCGGGATGTCTTAGAAGCAAAGTTAGACAAAGCCGTGAAGAAGCTGAAGAAGTCTTGCGAGGCAAGCAGCACAGAAATTGTGCTGTCCACTACTCATCATGGAACCCATCCCATCACGTTAAGCTTTGACGAGCTAGATATTGATTGGCAATCCGTTGACAGACAGCGCAAGGAATGGACTAAGTTGCCAACCTCACGCAAGAAGCGCAGCGTTGTTACCATTTCTGTTACATTTGAGTACACATTTGTTGACACTGATAAGAACCCCAGCGCGGCCGCCTCAGCCGCTCAGCTACATAATATACGAGCCCGATATGGTGATGGAACTAGTATGACCCGGTCGGTGGCTGTCGGGAAGTCATACGCTCTGATGAGATGCTCTGGTCCGCCATGCAAAAACGGCGACCACTGCTGGCAGTATGAAGGCAGACACATTCGGCTCTTTCCCCACCATATAGACATCCTGGTTGATCACTTACATGCAGGGAGGACTTTAAATGGACATCACGATGTGCCAGAAACCTTTCGTAGATTAGTTCTAGCTGACGAACGACAGCAGAAAGAGCGGGAAGAGAAGCAGCGTGAAAAGGATCAACAACGCAAGCGAAACCGACAGGGCTCAGATGGCGTATCTACCAGCCTTTGTCATCCGCATCAGTGTTCGTATGGCGGTCGTTCAACTCCCGAAGTGGTCTTCCCCGCCTCTCCGCTTCTATCTCTCGGTGAACCAAGGCGAGACCTGCTCAAGGCGTACGACGTATGGCAGATATATCAAGCAAGTGATGACGAAGAGTCTTATCTGTGCATCCAGCATTTAAATCTGGAGCGAAAATATGACCTCGAAATGATTGTGAGCAACCAGCAAAGGGTATTCCAATATTACTTGGATAACGACGTGCCAGAGGGTGTTGCGTGGCATTACGTTAGTGATATCAAGGCGTTTTACAAATTACGGAGGGAGGAACATGCCAAGAACGCGCCGTAGGCTAGCCCATGGCGTTGACGTTGGTGGCATCTAGTGCTTCTTTTTATATCGGGATCGGGCTCTTGGGTGGCGTCTTGCTCACTAGATCAAGTTTTGCAAACGATGGTCACGGGGTTTGATGATGCAAAGGAGGTGTTCTGTTCCCCTATTCCATTCATTGTAAGCTTTCTTCAATATAGATTTGTGCCTTTCTAAAGTGTCCCCTTGCCCATTTTCTGCCAGTTTCGCCACGTCCCATAGTATTAATCTTCATCCGTAAATAGTTTTTGAAGTCTCCGCGGATGTGATCCTCGTCCTCTATAGCTCGGCTTTCTATGTGATTCTTGAGTGCGCCAAAGAAGTACTCAATAGGATTTAAGTCTGGAGAGTATGGAGACTGTTTTACAATTAACACGCCAGCTTCGGCATATAAATCTTTGATCGTTTGGGAGATATTGTGAAATGATGCGTTGTCCATAATGACAACCGACCGTGGTTCTGGATACCTGCCACAATGTGGCAAGAGATTTACGAGAAAAGATTCAAAGACCTCAAGATCCGTATTACCTTCATACACTTGGGAATAGATAACTCCATCTATAGTATACGCAGGGAGGAAGGAAACCCTCTTTCCTCGATGAAATGGCTTCACTTGAACTGGAGTCACGCCTTTTGGGGCGTACCCTTTCTTCGGTATTGCCAGCTCACGGTCATCACCAGCTTCATCGACGAAAACCATTTGGCTAGGCTTAAAAAAGGATCGTCTATGTATATAATCATCTCGTAGATCTCGGTTACGTTCTTTGGCAATAGTAATCATCATCTTCTTTGTCCATTGTACGCCTCGACTGATCGTGGACCTTGATACGCGAATGCTATATAGTTTGTAAAGAAAATCTGCTTGGGCTTGTTGACTTAAACTGGGACGTCGTCGTAACTCATGCCAAATGGCCATCCACATGTTCTCCGTGACTTCCGCTGGTCGACCAAACGGTTTCGAGGGGCGGTCGATCGTGCCATATCGCATGATGTTTGAGCGGGCATTGCGAACAGTTCTTGTTGTGCAGCGAGGGAAAATTCTAGCTATCTCCTCATCCGTAATTTTTCGGTTGCCCTTGAACTTACTAATAATGGTAATTTCGAGCTCCTTTCGCTCGATTCTTGATAGCTTAGGCGCCATTTGTGGAGGATGGCAAGGCTAAGAATGCCAACGGTGCATCTCCACATCATAGGCCATGTTTGGCGCACGGCAAAACTTAACTCCGGAAGTTCTATTCTGGACGTTGGAAGTATACGGTATAAATTGGCTTCAATATTAGCACCGTGTGGGTCGTGCAACTTACCTTAAAGAGTGTAGACAAGAGGAAGCAATATTTGCACAGAACAATACTAGAGGCATTATAGAGTTGAACTACATTTGTGATGTCCGTAGCATTAAGTTTTACAGTTAGGAGCGGAATGGGCGTCCTATGTCACACACTCAAAATAGTTAAGCACGGACCATGAGTACTTCAAAACACTTATATATACTTTCTAAGACTCGTTTAATCGATGTATTCAAAAGTAGTTTCATATACTAAAAAGTATAGTCTATTTCGCAACTTTGGCCAAGGTAGACAGTGCAGATAGAGTCAATGAATACAAAATAAGCCCAGTCCAGATACATGCCTCAAAAATTAACGGACTACTAAGTGGGGTCGGTCTTCTTCTCCGCCAGCCTACACCTCAGGCCCAAACGTGGCTTGATCGTTCCTGGCGTCCTCTTTCTTCATTACATACGATGAGTGACGACGACTGCGTGAATGAATGGTTTACTGACAATGAGATACCTTCTCAACTTTGCAATATCCCGACTCCCACGCGCCGGCGGAGCCCATCTATATCGAGCCAGGGATGTAACAAACGACCTTNCCCGGGGTCACTGCTATTTGTACCGTTGGCTAACTGGAACCCAAACCACCCGCAATATGACAAACACCGTTACATACATTATGAACTTGAGTGGAAGTTGACCGTGAATAATAGACAAATTGCAAAGCAAACCGA